TTCTAATCGCTTTTACCTGTTTGCAAACAATTTTTTTTTTATCCAATAAATATTTGATTTTGAATACTACACTATGGGCGTCCTTCCGTGACTTCTTTTTGAGGAGCATTTATTTGCAGAGCCCATTTTTTGTGATCCAGTTGCCTCACCCAGAGAAAGAAGTTATCTGTAAGCAGGCAGCCTCTTCTACCCATCCCTTAAAGGGACCTCTGGTTACCTGGATCCGACTAATTTGATAGCGGGCATTTGCTGACTACGACCCTGAGGGAGGATCACCGTGACCAGACCCATATCTGTTGAGGAAACCTCTGGATGTGATACTTAATGCGTATATAATTATTACGCATCTGGTGAGTGCGTAATTCTGCCATTATTCACGGAGCACCACCATCGAGTTTTAACCAGTTACCCGGCACTTTATAGTCACGCAGACTGTTGTATGTATTGAACTTTTAATATTTTATCACTCATACCGTCTTATTTTGAATCATAATTTTAGCGCTGCATTGTTTTACTTATTCTATGTGTAAGGTTTGTTGGTTACCTTGGGTGCTCAGCTGCTGATTGGATAGCGCTCACTTTTACATGTTTTATTATATACTTACCTGACCAGATCAATATCCCAGGAGTTTCATCGAATTGATGCGATTCGGATTACAAAGTCTTCCTTTCATTTTTATTTTTTAGGTGTGTGTAAAAAAAAAGAAAAAAAAAAAAACTCTATTCCTATCCCCATCTCCTATCTCACCAGTCCATAGATGTGGTGGCTGCATTAGTTTTTTTTTTTTTTTTTTTTCCTTATGTTCATCAGGTGATCCTGCCAGTAACACACTTCCTCTGCTAAAGTGACAGTGTTCAGTCATTGTGTATGTATGGAGCTATTTCTATATATGTCTCCCTAGGACAGGATGTAGTTTAGGACTACGGAACCTCTCCCAATCTTCTCATCCTTGGGGGTGGGAGGAGTTGTGATATGTAGTCCACAGAGGAGACTGAACAATGCTAACTGGTGGAGACACGAGAAGGTATCGGCTTTCTAGATTTCTGGCAGGATCAGCAGGTATTTTGTTCTAAACAGATTTTCAGAGACCAAAATGGAGCCAATAATGCCTCTCCTGTCCTGCAGCTGGGCTACCCCTTTTGCCTTTTGATTTCCCTTTGTATTTGCGTTGGATATTTGAGTTCTTAGTGCTCATTTGTGGCTCGCTGGGACTTCTGCCTTCCGAAAGAATTCTGCTGCATTCCTGACAGCGGTCTGACACTCCCAGTCGCAGGACTCCAGCTCCCATGCTGGTTCAAAATTCTCTGTTTGTTCAGCGCTGCTTATAGATCCATCCAGTCAGCTGTTCTTTGCTGCGTACATGCTTAGAAAGCACCATGTTTTGCACCTTTTGACAGAAAAAGAACTTGCACACAGACTGCACCTTTTTTTTTTTTTTTTTTTTTTTATTTTTGTTTTCACATTTAAATCGGTATTTTTTTGCTCGAAAATTACTTATAACCCCCCAAACATGATCTATAGGATAAAATGTAAATTCTTGCAACATTATTATTCTTATATATACAGGATTTATATTATTATTGTACAAGATTTATATTATTATTATACAGGATTTGTATTATTATTATTATACAGGATTTATATTATACAGGATTTGTATAATTATTATTATTATACAGGATTTATATTATTATTATTATACAGGATTTATATTATTATTATACAGGATTTATATTATTATACAGGATTTATTATTATTATACAGGATTTGATTTATTATACAGGATTTGTATTATTATACAGGATTTGTATTATTATTATTATACAGGATTTGTATTATTATTATTATTACAGGATTTATATCATTATTATTATTATACAGGATTTTTATATTATTATTATACAGGATTTATATTATTATTATTATACAGGATTTATATTATTATTATTATACAGGATTTATATTATTATTCAGGATTTATATTATTATTATTATTATACAGGATTTATATTATTATACAGGATTTATATTATTATTATTATTATACAGGATTTATGGCGCCAACAGTTTGCTCAGCGCTTTACAATATAACGGGAGACAATACAGTTACAATACATTTCAGTACAGAAGGAATAGGAGGGCCCTGATCCTGGGAGCTTACAGTCTAAGAGTCATATGGTATTTGTGCAGCTGTTTTTTTTTTTTTTTTTTTTTTTTTTTTTTTTTTCCAACAATTTTTTTTATGGGGGTGGGGGGGAGAAACACTTTTTTTTTTTTTTTTAAACAAAAAAAATTAACTCATATATACAATTTTTTTGTAAAATATTAAAGATTATGTTTCGTCGACTAAAGGGAGACCCAACGTGTCACGCTTTGAAATTGCGCACGCTCGTTGAATGGTGACAAACTACAGCACCTAAAAATCTCAATAGGCGATGCTTCTAAAAAATGTTTAGAGTTAGAGGATGTCTAGCATTAGAATTATTGCTCTCGTAACATTCGCGGCGATACCTCATATGCGTGCTGTAAACAGTTTAGATATGCATGCGCAACTTGTGTATGTGTTCACTCTTATGCGCATTTTGTAAAACTTTTTATTTTTTTTCACTGTCATTTATTTATTTTTTTCTATGATTTTAAATTACAAGGAATGTAAACATCCCTTGTAACAGAAATAAGGATGACGGGTTCTCTTTGAGATCGGGGGTTAATCGCTTCCCAACTTCCCTATAGCAGAAATACTGCTACAGAGCGGCACGGGTGCGTAAACTTGTGTGTGATTTTGCATTTCTGGGCAGGGGGTGCATGCCCTACCCACATCACCATTCACGGCCGTGGCTGTCAATCACTGGACCCCAGCTAGGAATTACTTGCTGGTGCACGGTGATTACCGAGGATCTCCGACGGGGAGGATTTGTTTACTAAGAGTTCTTCTCCCTGTCAGCTCGGACACACTGCACAGCACAGACATCCAAAGCAGTGTGCTTACAGTGAAGCACACAGACCCCGCCCCCTAGTAAAACACTCCCAGCACACAGTTAACCCTTTGATCGCCCCTCATGTTAACCCCTTCCTGCCCAGTGCCATTAGTACAGTGTCAGTGCTTCTTTTTTTTTTTTTTTTCTTCCTTTAGCACTGATCACTGTGTTGGTGTTACTGCTGTAAGTCGATCGCTGCCATTACTAGTAAAAGAAATAAAGAATACCTCCCAGTGTGTATATATACCACCATTTGTAAACACTATAACCGTCATGTAAACCAATTAATTTACACATTTTTGTTTTTTTTTGTTTTTTTGAGCAAAGACATGGAGCAGAATACATTTTGGCAAAAAGGTTTTTGGTAATTTTTTTTTTTCCCCAAGGGTTCCTCCTAGGACAGTGAGTCTCCAGACTTTCTAAACAAAGGGCCAATTTACTGTCTATTAGGGGCTGGACTGTGGCCAGTGGGAGAAACCATGACTCAGGCTTGGTGTTCCAGGGGGGAGTAAAAAAAAAAAAAGACTGTTTGTGGTGAGGAGGAGGAATAGTGCACCATTGTTGGTATCAGTGGAAGGAATGGTGTCCCATCGTTTGGGTCCTGTGGCAGGAATGGCGCCCCGTCACTGGGGTCCTGTGGTAGGAATGGCACCCCGTGTAATGGGACTGGCCCCAGACTGCACTTGGGTACTTCCATTAGACACCACAGCTGACCATACAAGACTAGACGACACCAGTCCTGACGTAAACCAGAAAAAAGACTACTTTATTTTAACACAGATACAAGATGTATACGTTCAAGGGAACAATCCCCCCCCCCCCCCCCCCCCGCATAATGATACAGGGCAGTGCACTCTACCTTTTTAGTAATGAGACACACCAACACAGTCCCGTCAGGGGGGAGGGCTGCTGCAGACCCCCCCCCCCCCCCACCAAGCCAATACACATACATCCCATAATTTGCACCCAAGCAAGACACACACTAGAACAATGGGATGCAACCACATGGCATTAAACAATCAACCCCCACCCCAATATTAGGACAGATCACCCTGTACCCCTAACAGGCACAGGGGGACTTACACATAATAGGGATATAGGGAGATGTGACAGGGGTCTCCCCACCTCTCCAAAGTGAGCTGGGTTCCATGGGCCCCCCACCCAAAGTGACACCCATTACGCCCTGTCACTGGGGGGTCCTGTGGCAGGCAGGGCGCCCCGTCACTGGGGGGTCCTGTGGCAGGCAGGGCGCCCCGTCACTGGGGGGTCCTGTGGCAGGCAGGGCGCCCCGTCACTGGGGGGTCCTGTGGCAGGCAGGGCGCCCCGTCACTGGGGGGTCCTGTGGCAGGCAGGGCGCCCCAAGGGCTAGATAAATGCATGTACAGGGCTGCATCTGGCCTTAGGGCCACTATTTGGAGATCACCATTCTAGGACAAAGTTTGAGAGAGGCTGCTGTAGGCTCATGCTGGGATGTGTAGTTCAGCAGCCGCTGTAGAGGCTAAGGTTGGCCAAATGACCTTGCAGCTTGCTTGTTGAAAACCAAGAGCCAACTTTTTATATGTAGAATCGTAAAATCTAAAGACGTGTATTTGTCCATGATGTGAACGCACTCTGCCGGCTGCACCCAGTAGAATAGATCGTTCAGTGTCAGGCCGAGTTTCACCCTTTGGCCTGGCACGCGATGACTCGCATTGAGAAATCCTGAATAATGTTCCTTTTGTTCATGGTTGCTGTGCCATTCGCACATAGTGCCGCACTGTGGTGGTAACTCCCATGGTCACTTCTTGCGTACATAGCTGTGTCTCATATGGCTTTTCCATGGCGGATGGTAAGGGATTTCATCACTGGGCACTCTTCTTCTTCATGCCGTCTCTCACCCCATTTACAACCATAGCAATTATTAGGCTTGTAGTCGTTGCTGAGTTTTTTTTCATTTCAATGTCTATTAGCTGAGGGTGCTGCCATAGATTTAATTTACTCCACAGACCTTAATTTTTTTTTTTTGGTGTTCTTGTTGCAGAGGCAGAGGTTGATCCTCGAGAAGAGACGTACTTTGTCCAGAGGAGGTGAGATGATGAATCCTTTCTGGAGCATGTCGTCGGCATCTGTAAGAAAGGTAGGAATGTTGGTGTATCTTCCAACGTGTCTGAGGCGGGGAAAAGAAGATTGACTTTCTGTTTCAATAATGTTTATTGAAGTTTTACAAGAAAATGGAAATCGGTAGAAAGGCCTTCAGCCAACACATGGCCCAGTTAGAGCTGGCCAGCCACAAATGGGGAGGTGGCAATGCCACATGGGCTATATATAGTAAGTACATCGGAACTAAAGGGACAGTCAACCTAAACACCAACCTGTTGAGGGTCATAAAACACGAAGAAAGATTGTCAACGGTAATATCATAAAATTGGCTTAATTGCCTTAGTCGTAGAGCTTCGCATCGAGCGGTAGAGGTCTAAACAGTACAGCCCACCTCTCACTAAGCGGAACTCCTCCTTCCCGGGCATACAATCTGTTTCAAAAGAATTATACAATTGAACCAAGCCAAGGGGATGAAGAAATCCCCCAAGGCAAAATAATCACAAAAAGCTGGGTCAGCTAAAACCGCTAGCCGGGCCTCTGGTAGAGTCCATGCTTCCAGAAGGAGAGAGAAAAGGGAGAAAAAGAGGTCGGAGGAAGGGACAAAAGAGGGGGAAAAAAAGCAAGGCAAGAGATAGGTTGTCCGCCTCTCAAATCATCGTCAAAATATTCTTCATGCAGGAGATTGTAAATATTGTATCCAAGGATTGCAGCCTTTCAGCTAGATTCTTCTGATCAGTGGCCTACAATATTGTCTGTGGGTCGAATGTGGCCCTTTGCTTTCCTTAGGGCACCATTGCCTCTACTGATACCAATGATGGGGCACCATTGCCTCTACTGATACCAATGATGGGGCACCATTGCCTCTACTGATACCAATGATGGGGCACCATTGCCTCTACTGATACCAATGATGGGGCACCATTGCCTCTACTGATACCAATGATGGGGCACCATTGCCTCTACTGATACCAATGATGGGGCACCATTGCCTCTACTGATACCAATGATGGGGCACCATTGCCTCTACTGATACCAATGATGGGGCACCATTCCTTCCAATGAAACCAATGATGGGGCACCATTCCTTCCAATGACACCAACAATTGGGCATAATAAACAGGGCACTGTTTCTTCCCCTGATACCAGTTATTGGTCCCATTTCCACCCACTGAGCACCCAACGATGGGGCAGCAGTCTGTGGGACCATAAACTGGCCCTTTTTTTTGTTTGGAGAACTCTGCTTTTGATTGGCTGTGATGCAAAGCCATCATTTCTGTTACTTTTATGGTGCAACTACAGATATGCAGGTCACAGAGAAAACTGTAGACCACTGTTGGGACACCCAACATATCCATGCATACAAGTTGTCAATGGAAGCATTTTGTTTTTTGGGTTTTTTTTTTTTTTCTCTGTTCTTTAATAATGTGTCCCAACAATGGTTCTTTCTTCGAGCTGTACGTCAAGATAAGCAAATAAAGCAACTACTAAACCCACCTAATACGGGACTTTTAAGTTCTGCTTCTGGTAACCACAATTTATATGTGAAGAAACCAAAATATATAACAAACTTTATTGCAAATTTTCAGGCGGCGTCATCCTGTCATGAGGCTTCAATCATCGGCCAAGGTGGATTGGTGGCTGTGTGGCATCTCTGGGTGCTTTGAGCAATCTTCTTTATACATCCTTTTTATATGTGGAATTCTCATACTGGTTACCTATCTTTAGAGATACTCAAAGATCTACCTTTTGATTTGCATCATGCTGTCCCCTGAATGGGTGTCCCCATTGGAAGATTTCCTCCCTCTGCTTGTGGGGGGGCTCCTCTGTACCCTTAGATGGCTATTTACGTTTTAGCACGGAGTTGCCTTCTTCCTCATATATGTTTTGTTCTATTGAATTGTTTGTGCTTTGCAGAGATCAGATAATGAAGAGAAGATTGGAACCGGAGACCAAAAAATCAGCCCTCCCCGGTCCTCATCAAACAAAAAGCAGCTCCCTACGATCCCGAAGAATGCAGTCCCCATTACCAAACCTATTTCTCCAGCCCCGGCTGTACAGTCCACAAACGGGACACACGCCTCCTATGGCCCCTTCTACCTGGAGTATTCACTGCTGGCAGAATTGTAAGTCTCCTGCCGGTTCACGTTACTTACAGTTCTCTTATTTCCTTCAGTCTAATGATTGGTTTTCTTTTTTTCTTTTGGAATTCTTTTCTCAGTACGTTGGTGGTGAAACAGAAGCTCCCTGGGGTCTATGTGCAGCCGTCCTATCGCTCTGCATTAGGTGAGCCCGGTTACTTTTCAGGCTATAACTAAATGACACTTTAGCTACTTCCCACCCAGACAATCCTCACATTTCTGTCCTACATGTATTTTTGCTAGAAAATTACTTGTAACTCCCCCCAAGTGTGTGTGTGATAAACAAATCTATATAAATTAATAAAATTATATATCTGTCTATGTCTTGGGGGGAGTTCTAAGTCATTTTCTAGCAATGTTTTTTTTTTTTTCCGCACAATATTTGTGCAGCGGTTTTACATAACAAATTTTTTGGGAAAAAATAAATTTTTTAATGAATTTTAATGCACACAATAGAGAACAGGCCTTAAAATTTCTGCTTGCTTATGGCGGGGGGCGAGTGTCCCCCAGGGCCGTCTTGCTGCGCAGGCTCGGAGCTCAGGCCGGATCTGTCATTGGCACTTGAAGCCGTCAGACTGCTCAATAGCTGAGCGCAGTGAAAGCAAAGCAAGGAGTGTGCTGTGCTCTCTGCCTCCCCCTAGAGTGCAGTACCCGGCTCTGTGAGTGAACAATGAAGTACTGCAACATTTTATTGTGTGTCTACCTAATTTCAGCTCACTCTGGTCACATAATCCTCTGTCAGCCAGTGGTGGCTTCAGGGGAGAGGAGAGAGCACTTAACAGCGTGTGTGTGTTTTGTGTATGCATCTACAGATGTCTGTATGTGTGAGTACATGTGTGTGTGTGTATATAAACACTATCAACTTTATTGCTTACACAAGCAGTTGACAGCACAGGCTTTCTTTATGGAGAGATCTGGGGTCTATTAGACCCCAAAGCTCTCCTGTGGCATCATCCCGGTATAACCACTTCAGCCCGTGGACGTCATATATTGTTTAGACGGGGCGGACTCAGTTTATGCAGAGCAGGCATGGACAAGCTCCCTCTGCTCTATGGGAGGCCAGTGAAAAACAGACTCCACTTTACCCTCTTTACACCTAAACAGAAGAAGTGTTGTCTCTTTATTTTCCAGTGTGGTTTGGAGTCATATTCATAAGGCATGGACTGTACCAGGTACCAGGACGGTGTATTTAAGTTCACTGTATACATCCCTGATAATTATCCCGATGGGGAATGTCCGGTAAGTGCTCGCTTTGCTATTAGAGAATCCATATACAGTGTGTGGGTGGGAAGGAGGTAAAGTGGTTTATAAAGACTTCTTTTGTTTTTTGCCTTCTTTTTAATGCATTTTCTGCATTAAGGTAAAAATAAACGTTTTTCAAAAGTTGCTCCTCCCAGCCCCTCTGAAAACACTTAACTGAGCCCGAACCTGATCCAGTACTGTGCCCATCCACAGCAGCTCTTCTCCCCTCTCTCTTCTCAGAGGAGAGTCCGTATCCGCGAGAGCCATTGGCTATTGCTGCTGTCAGTCAAGTCCTGTGAGGAGGGAGCGGAGGACTGAGCTGTGCTGTGTGTGTGTCAATAGATTCACACAGCCCAGCTTTGGATCGAGCCCACATGAGTGCCTCCATAGAAAGCGGCTTGCTATGGAGCAATTTAGAAAGGAGAGGAGCACAGATCGCTAGCGGGGGACCCCAGAAGAGGAGGTTCGGCGTCACGATGTATAAAACCATTGCACAGGTAAGTATAACATGTTTTGTAAAGTGTTTTTTTTTTTTTTATTTTGAGGGGAAAAAAGTTGTTTGTTTTTTTTTTTTTTTTTGCTGCACCTTTCTTAAGAAATCGGCTATAATATAAAAAGTTGTCAATCAGGCGGCTGGTCTTGCTGATTATCCCACCTCCTTATTATTTTTTTTTTTTCTGTAAAAACCTAAAAGTTGTGTTGTGTTCAGCGAGCGTATGTTGGCGTCTCATTTCCTTCTTCTGGTCTCCCTTCCAGCGTCTTGTGTTTGACATCCCCGTCTTCCACCCTCTCGTTGATCCCGTTTCAGGAGAGCTGGATGTGAAAAGAGCGTTTGCAAAATGGAGGTAAGTGCCCCGCTAACGACCTGAGCGTCGCTCACCCAAGTCTGCCTTCCTGCTTTGTAGTTTACAGGAAACATTGTGGCTTCTTTCTTCCCCTCAGGAGAAACCACAATCACATATGGCAAGTGTTGATGTACGCAAGACGGATTTTCTACAAAATCGACACAACCAGCCCATTGAATCCAGAAGCTGCGGTACTGTAAGTATAGAGGGTGGGGTGTTGGCTCTGTCAGGTTTTTATGGATGTTTAGTGTTACTCAGGAGGTCTGGAGCTTAAATGATTGCTCACAAGTGTGGTGCGAGCACCATTTACATATGCATGAGGAATGTGCGTTTGTGCGTATGCATGGGGAGGGAGAGAGAGGGGGCTTTACTTTTTTTTTTTTTTTTTTTTTTTGTTTTTTTTTTTTTTGCTTTCACAAGGGGTGAATACCCATTGTGAAAGCATGGGGTATGACAAGTCTTCCCCATGGAAAGATCTGGGATCTGATGTTACATCAAATCCAACTGGATGTTCTGCGGGATCGGTCCTTGTTGAACATTTTGAGCTCCTCCCACTTTCTGATGTCTGTTTTCTCTTTGTGTCGTTCTAGATATGAGAAGGACGTACAACTCTTTAAGAGCAAAGTGGTAGACAGTGTTAAACTATGCAACAGCCACCTTTTCGATCAGCCGAAGGTAGAAGACCCCTATGCAATAATGTAAGTAGCTGGGACTTTGATTTATTAGATGTGTGGTGGTCTGGAACCAAGTCTGAGCTACGTTTACACAGACGCATGGAGGAGACCGTTTATTAAAGGGTTAGTTCACCTTTACCAAGAAACTGCCTGTGCCGCTAAGGGGTGTCCATAGATGACGACAAACTATTCAACTTTGGTCAGAGCTGCACAATGTCCTTGCTGTGTACATCCCTCCTGAAGCCTGGCTGCAAATCTCCCCCAGATATCATCCTGTCTTCCTTGTTGCTAAGATGTTGCTAAGAGACCGCTAGCTGTTCGACTCCAGCCTCACAGAAGCAGGTTCTTTTGTGTGATTCAAACCCCCACACGCTTTTTTTTTTTTTTTTTTTTTTTTTTTTTTTTTTTTTTCTCCCTCTCCACTACCAATGGCTCTGAGCTCAGCATTTGGGAGTCCACGCTGTGATGGTGAAGGTAAACCGTAACAGCTGGGAGTCACTTAGCAACGTCCTAGCAACAAGGCAGGACAGGATAATGTCCTCTATGGGAGTTTTTCAGTCGAGCTTCTGGAGGTATCTAAATGGCCTACACTTAGGGCAAGGGCCTTGGTCAAGGGCCTTCAACCTTGGTCAAAGCTGCACAGTTTTGTTTTTTTCTTTGTGGTTTTTGGTTTTCTTTTTGTGGTTTTTGTTTTTTTTCTTTTTTGTACAGACAACCCTGACTTTCACAGGAAGTTTTGGTGAAGCTGAACTATGCCTTTTTAAGGCTCAGTACTTGACATTAATTTTAAAGTGCCTGTATAGCCCAAACTTTCCAGAAATGCAGCAGCTCAAAAAACAGATGTGAACGTGTCCCATAGGAAACCATGTTAAATGGACTGTAGTGCGTTCCTGCAAAAAGCACTGAAAAAAGGCATTGGTGTGAACCAGGCATGAATATGGAGGGGTTTTTGGTGCTTGTGTTTTTTTTTTTTTTTTTTTTTTTTTTTTTCCCTGGCCAAAAATGCAGCAGCAGGATTAACACCTCAAGGGAAGCGCAACAGACCAGTGTGAAGACATACATTGGATTTTTAAAAGGAAACCTTTTTTTTTCCTTTTTTTTTTTTTTTTTTTTTTTTGTCCATTTCAGTTTTTGGTCAAATGCGTCCTGAATTTTCAGCATTGACTATTTTTTAATCTTTATACTGTTTAGCATTAGTAAATGGATAGATATGAAGGTATATTATGTTTACTTTTTTTCTTCCTAGTTTCCTGCAAATGACACCATACATCCCAGTCTTCAGGAGGGACTTTCTCAGCTAAGCACACCCTCCTGCCTGCATACCTGGGCTAAGGGCAGATGGATTCTAGAAAGTAATTGCTACATGAACCATGTGCCCTTACTTAAGATGGCCACGGCCAGAAATGGGGGGGGGGGGGGGGGGGGGGGGGGGGGGAGGGGGTTTCAAAGTGATTTCTCACCAATGTAAAGCATGGAGACACAGATGGATGGGGGGGAGTTTGCTTTGAATAGTAAAAATGACTTGGTGTTTTTGGTTTATGGTGATCAGATTCTGTGCAGCACTTCTTTTAAGGTCTCCTGTAGCTCCTGTGGATACATCCGGTGATTCCTGCAATGGGCGCTGGCTGGTGTGGACCTGCATAGAGAGAGGTCCCAATCTACCCCGAAGTCACAAACCCCGCACCTAGCAAGGCCATTAGTAAACGGGTGAAAGAGGCCTCAGCCAATTTTGTCTGAAGCCACGCCCCCAATGCATTTCACCCCGCCCATGGGGCATAATTATGAAGCAGGCTGAGGCGGCTTTCACCTGTTTACTAATGGCCTTGCTAGGTGCGGTGTTTGCGACTTCAGGGTAGATTTACTAAAACTGGAGCACTCCGAATCCGGTGCGGCTGTGTGTGGTAACCAATCCCCTTCTAACCTCAGCTTGTTCAATGGAGCTTTGAGAATAAAACCTGGAAGCTGATTGGTTCCTGTGCAGAGCTGTACCAGATTTTGCGCTCTTCATTCGTTTTTCAAGTATTGTACGGGTGTGTCTTTGTTTTTTATAGGCTGTTATTTGGCATATTGCTTGTCAGGTTAGTTTTTGTAATTGATTTTCATATCTTTCCATTTTAGGTTTTCTCCTTGGAATCCAGCAGTACATGACGACGCCAGAGAAAAAATGCTAGCGCAAAAAGTACGCACCTAATTTCTGCATCTGTGTTGGAATACTTGTATCTCCTCCCTTTGGGTTACAAGCAGAGAGGCTTCTTTGTATGTGTGCTTGGAGCAATGGACCGGTCACTGGAGACACTGGGGAGTGTTCCGCCATCTTGTTCTATGAGCCTTTAGGGGAAGTCTGTACTTGGACATCCCAATATGTCTGGCAGATGCTGTATAGAAGAGTTTTGTTTACATCTCTGTTTACTGAAATAAATAATTTGCATAGTTTTATAGGCTTTTTTTTTAACCTTTTCTATTATCGCGTTGTTTTTTTGGTTGGGGGTTGTGTGGTTTTATGGTTTTTTGTGTTTGTTTGTGTGTTGGGGTTTGGGGTTTTTTTTGTTGTTTTTGTTTTGTTTGTTTTTTTTGTTGTTTTTTTATTTTTTGTTGTTTTTTTTGGTGTGTGTTGTGTTGTTTTTGTGTGGGTTTTTTGTTGTATTTGTTTTTTTTGTTTTTTTTTTTGTTTTTTTTGTTTTGTTTTTATGTTTGTGTTTTTTTTTTTTATTTTTTGTTTTTTTTGTTTTGTGGTTTTTTATGGTTTTTGTTTGTTTTTTTTGGGTTTTTTGTTTTTTGGGTGTTTGTTGGTTTTTGGTGTTGTGTTTATGTGTGTTTTGTTTTATGTTTTTGGTTTGTATTTGTTTGTTTTTTTATTTTTTTTTTTTGGGGTAATATTGGTGGTTATGTTTTTTTATTTTTGGGTTTATTTTTTTGTGTTGGTGTTGTTATTGAATGTGGTGTGTTGTATATTTGTGTGTGTGTGTGTGTGTGTATTATTTTTGTTTTTGTTTGTGTATATGTGTGTTATATGTATTTTATTTATTGTTTTTTGTATTGTTTGTTTATATTGTGTATATGTTTTTTGTGTGTGTTTTTGTGTGTGTATAGGATTATGTATATGTTTTTGTATATTATTTTTTTTTATCATGATTGTGGTTTGTATATATATATATTTATATATGTGTATGATATGTATGTATATACCAGATGTGTGTATGGTGTATATAATTTTTGCGCACCCGTGCCACCCTGTAGCAGTGTTTCTGCTATAGGGCGGTCGGGCGGGCACTCTCCCTACCCGCACCGCCATTCGTGGCTGTTGATCACCGGGTCCCGGCTGGTGATTGCAGAGCATCTCCAACAGGGAGGAGAACTGTTTGTAAAACAACCATTCTCCTTCTAAGCTCGTGCACACTGCTTTTAGATGGCTTTGCATAGCACAGCCATCCAAAGCAGCGTGATTACAGTGAAGCACACAGTTAACCCTTTGATCGCCCCAGATGTTAACCCCTTCCTGCCAGTGCCATTAGTACAGCGTCCGTGCTTTTTATTGGCACTGATCACTGTATTTGTGTCACTGGGGATGTCAGGGACACAGTCAGTTTCCCCCCCCCCAGTGTCAGAATGCCCACCGCAGTCCCACAATAAGTCGCTGATCGGCGCCATTACTAATAAAATTAAAAACCGCCATTTGTGAACGCTATAACTTTCACGTCAACCAATTAATTTACACGTATAGGGATTTTTTTTTTTTTAGCAAAGACACAGAGCAGTATGCATTTTGGCTCTAAATGTATGATGACATTTTGGTTTTTGTTTTATTTAACTGGACACTTTTAATATGTCAAATATTTCATATGAAAGTTTCATAGTCTACAAATGGAGGGAGAGATATACTAGTAATGGCAGTGACTTATAAGGGGACTGACTAGCTGTTTAGTGGCAACTAGCTATTAGTGATCAGTGCTAAAGGGCACTGACACCACTTGTACAATGACACTGGTCAGGAAGGGGGTCAACATGTGGGGCGATCAAAGGGTTACCTGTGTTAGGCAGGGTTTTTTTTTTTACTAGGGGAATGTGCTTTGCAGTGTTTACATCCAGCTGATCTGCCCATCAGTCCCGGACATGAATTGCTGGCCAGGAGCCAATGACCGCACGGATAGGGTGGCGTGTGCACCTCCTACCCGGAAGTGCAAAATCACGTATAGTTACATAATTTTGCACAGAGCGGCCTCTCTGTAGCAGTAAAACTGCTCTAGGGTGGCTGGCAAGTGGTTAAAAGCTTAAACAGAGCTTGCTAAAAAAACTCTGCAAATGCTTCCTGTTCACATTGTTCCTATGCAGGATGAAGCCCGTGTGAAACCGCCTGATAGGGGAGGTATCTGCAAGGTGCTGGGCTTTTCACCAAAGGAAAGAGGTTTTGTGGGCATGCATGTACTCCCTGGGGGCGCGCAGCACCACGATCCGGTGCCTGCTGTGTCCTCCGGACACAGTGAAACACCGATCGTCGAACGTGACCTCTGTACGAAGTCCCAATCATGTGATCACTGATTGGCCAATCAGTGATCACATGCAGAGTAGTAAGCAAGATGCCACTTGTGACATCATTGCTTACTACGTGTGAAATCTGTGAATGATCAAGGTCACATGGTACAGGGCAATTCACAACAGCTTTGTACCATGTGACAAGCTCTGACCAATCGCAGCTCACACAGTATTTCTCAATGGCTGCAAGAATGCAGACAGAGAGAAAGAGAAATGATTGCTTTTACATCCTATATGGGTGTAAAAGCAATCACTGTAAAAAAACAAAACAAAAAAAAAATCATCACCCCCCACAAGTAGTACAGTGTGCTAGGGTGACAGTATGTAAAAAAAAAAAAAAAAAAAAAAACTTAAAGAAATAAAATAAAAATGTAAAAAAAGTTTAAAAATTATTTTTTTTTTATAAACTAATTTGGCGGATTATTTTTTTTTTTTTTTACCAAAAGGATAACTGAATAAATTTTGGCCAAGATTTATGATGAAATATTTATTTGCAAAATTTTATAAGAAAAACACTTTTTTTTTTTTTAAATTTTTGGACTTTTTCATTTACATAACAAAAAAAAATAAAATACCACCAAAAAAAGCTTTATCTGTCTAAAAAAAAAATAATGGTAAATTCATATGGGTACAGTGTTGCATGACCGCGCAATTGTCATTTAAAGTGTGATAGCACTGAAACCTGAAATTTGGCCTGGGGGGGGGGGGGGGGGGGGAAGTGTCCGGACAGGAAGTGGTTAAAAAAAGGGTAGAGATTTAGCACTTTGCTTTTAAAAAAAAAAAAAAAGAAAATATACATCTTATACAAATATTTTGTAGAAAGTCACTATATGTTCCTTTTTAAATGTTGATTGCTCTCTGTGACGGCAATCATTCAACTTCGTCTTTCTTGCTCCTAGAAGAAATCAGAAGAGAACAAGACCCTTCACGTGTCCGGCCTGTCCTGGGTGAAGCCGGGATCCGTCTTGCCATTCAGCAAAGAGGAGAACGCACTGCAAACCTAGTGACGCATGCACACGGGATCAGGACGGGGAACAGGTGGACTGCAATGACACGATAACGGGGCTGACCGCATGGAGGAAGATTGGGAGGACTTCTCTCCTTCCCCAGATCAAGCTTTTTTGATTTTTATCCCATTTTTTGGATTTCCTACACAGATTAGGATTTTAACTCTTTATGGTTTTTAATTCCGCTCACAGGTGAAAGGAGCCGCCGCCCGTCTGATACTTGGGGGAGGAGCTGAGTCTTTGCAGGACGTGGTCCCTAGTTGGGGGTGGCCTGTTTGGGGGAGGGGGGGAGGCCGCTCTGGGAAATGCATGCATGCTTATGCCTTCAGCTTGCCTCATCAGAGCTTTTCTGGCAGCGGGGTAGTTGTAACGCCCCACCCTCCCCCTTCTTTTATTGGATGTACCTGTTGATGGTTTTTCGGCTTGCTGAATTTGAATGGGAATTTTTTTTGGTGTACGGAGAATTAACTACGTTTTGATAAACTCTACACTACATTAACAGATCTGTAGTATAACTTGTTTAAAAAATGCCTTTTTTCATATTTTTTTTTTTTTTTTTTTTTTTTTTTTTTTTTTTTTTTTTTTTTTTTTTTTTTTTTTTTTGTGTGTAAATACAGTTAGAATATTAAAATTGTAAATATTGTGTTTTGGTAACTCCACATCTAGCACTTTTGGAGGGGAAGATTGAAAGATAATCTGGTTTTGAAACTGGTCTTAAAGGGGTCATCGGGTTGCAGTGTAGGTATTGTGCGGTTGGGTGGTTCAGCAGCATGGGGGTGTGGCTCTTACAATGGAGATGCGTGATTTGATGCGACATCACATGACCAGCTGGCATGGAGGCATGTGACGTCCTCTTTTTGCTAAAATATCAGTGAACATTTTAGCAGTATAGGCCGAACATCAGTAGTGGTTTTTTTTTTTTTTTTTTTTTTTTTTTTTTTTTTTTTTTTTTTGAATATGCTAACTTTATGTAGTCATGTCACCCAAACCTGCACCTATAGCCCCACTAAGAAATGGTCTGGACTGACCATTCAGGCACTGCCCGAGGGCCCGGGGTCAGTAGGGGACCCCATGAGATGCCCCTAATACCTTTTTCATAAGCTTTTTTGGGTGTGGTTGAGGACACAGGGGCCCCATGAGTTGTCAGTCCGCCCCTGCTCCCTTCCATCTCCTAACACCTGTGCGGACTTACCTCTGTTCATAAGATGTATATACTTGTGGGTTTTTTTTTTTTTTTTTTTTTTTCAGGCCATTCCTGACTGGTCATGTGATCCCTTGTAGCAACTGCAGTGGAGAGGAGCAAAGACTGGACAAGGGCTGGGAATGTCTGGGTGTGGTAGTGTCACCAATAGGCTCCCATGGCCTATCTGTTGGCACTCCTTCCTCTCCCCTGCAGCTGCCACAGGGGGTCACATGACCAGACCAGCGTGGCCTGAATGTAGGTAAGTATAATACATCTTTCTTACACCCGTAAGTCAGTATAGGTCTTGGGAGACTAGTTGGGTTATGCATGGAATTCTACTTTTCAGAGGCCAAGAGCTCACTGGCTAGTCTTAAAAATGCTCCCTCCCCCCCTCCCAACGCCTATGCTGCCCGAACTGTGTAAGAAAGATGTATATACTTATTTTTGCCGCTCTGGTTTGGTCACTTGATCCAGCTCCCCTGTGTCAGCGGCTAACAGATGTATATGGGTTTTCAGCCCAACCCAGTCCAGTCACATGATCCCATGTCAGCTGCAGGGGAGAAGAGGGGAGCACTGACAACAGGTCACAGGAACCTGTGCGTGACATCACTACTCCTAGCTGTTGAGCACTCTTCTCTCCCCTGAAGCTGACACATGGGATCATGTGGCTGAAAAATGAGGTGAGCACCACAGGTGCTCTGGTCCGGTCATGGGATCCACTCCCCTATGTCAGTCAGCAGTGGCTGCAGGGGAGAAGGAGCGCTGACAACAGATGGGCCACAGGAACCTATGCATGACGTGACATCGCCTCTCCCCTGCAGCTGACACATGGGATCGGTGACTGAAATGTGGTAAGCATCTATAGCTTTCTTACACAGGTTAATGAGCGTAAGTGCTGTGGTCTGGTCACGTGATGCAGCTGCCCTGTGTCAGACTGAAAGATGTATATGGTTACCCATTTTTCAGCCCAGTCACATGGCCCAATGTGTCAGCTGCAGGGGAGAAGGAGCACTGACAACAGATCTGCCACAGGAACCTGTAAAATCACCACTCCTAGCCATTGAGCACTCTCCTCTCCCCTGAAGCTGGTACATGGGGATCATGTGACTGAAATGGGGTAAGCATATATGCTGATTAACCCATGTAAGAAAGATGTATATGCTTACCCCATTTCAGTCACATGATCCCCATGTACCAGCTTCAGGGGAGAGGAGAGTGCTCAATGGCTAGGAGTGGTGATCTCACAGGTTCCTGTGGCCCATCTGTTGTCCGCTCTCCCTCTTCTCCCCTGCAGCCGCTGACTGGCTGACATAGGGGAGCTGCATCAGGTGACCAGACCAGAGCACTCTATGCTGATTAACCCATGTAAGAAAGATGTAGAGTGCTCTGGTCTGGTCACCTGATGCAGCTCCCCTATGTCAGCCAGTCAGCGGCTGCAGGGGAGAAGAGGGCGCGCTGACAACAGATGGGCCACAGGAACCTATGCGTGACATCGCTACTCCTAGCTGTTGAGCACTCTGTCCTCTCCCCTGCAGCTGACACATGGGATCATGTGACTGGAATGGGCTGAAAGTGAGGTAACTATATACATCTTTCTTACACAGGTTATTCAGCATAGGAGGGGGAGGGGGAGGGATTAGGTTTGGCCTGGATTTTTCTTTAACTTTAATGGCGGTTCAGCAATCCTGGCCGTTCTAACCAGGCCTCTGTATGTTGCACTTTAATTTATTTTCAATGGCGTTGTGACTACCAGTTGCCATGAGAGCCATTGTTGTAGGCCTTCTGGGTATACCGGTTTAAGATGGACCAGCCTATGCCAAAGCTAGCGGCTTCCAATCGGCAGACGCTTCTAGCACTTTGCCTTGGTAATTGGTTCGGCCCGTATAATAGGTGTCCCCACGCTGAGTAGGCCTCATGCAAACCTGAGCTGCTGCTCTGCTACCCGCCCACAAGATCGGTCGTCGCACAAGCACACATCAGTCTTGGTGAAAATTGTTCATCTGCAGAAATTGGGAACTTTTCTTGCTTTTTTTTTTTTTTTTTTTTTTTTTTTTTGTTTTTTTGTTTTTTTTTTCCCTTTTATTGATCACTTCTGTTCAAAAAATTGTGTTTAATGTCATTCAATAAACAGATACATTCGCTCCTTTGATGCCATTACTGCTTGGTTACCTCTGTAGAGACATTTAGTACAGAGACTGTGTTGCTCGTGACAAAGCGGGGAAATGGATTGCAGTTCAGTGAGACTTGAAAAGGATGAAGATTTGTTTCCAAACTGTGCAGAGGGACCACAGAATGGAAAACCAGAATTTAATTTTTTTTTTTTTAATGTGTTGTCACAAATGAGCTGAACATGTGGTAGTAATATGATTTGATGTGGCATCCTCCATGGTGAACATGTAAACCAGAACTTTGGCTGAACAACTTTAAACTGAAAGCTCAGTTGAGGCTTGAAGTATTACCAGGGGTAGACTGACCCTTTGGAAACTCGGGCACTGCCTGAGGGCCTGGGGTCAGTAGGGGGCCCCATGAGATGCCCCTGGTACCTCCTTTTTTTTTTTTTTTTTTTTTTTCCCCTCCTCCTTCATAGGCTTTTTTGAGTTTGGACAGGGACATGGGGGTTCCATGATCTCCTATTGCCTGTTGGCCCCATGAGTTGTCAGTCCGCCCCCGAGCGTTACTAAACCTGCAAGAGTAAAATCAGTCTGTGCAGGAAAGCATGCTTGTTATACTCACTGTGGGACCTAAGGGGTTAACCCTCTGCATTGTGTCAAAAGGCTGTTTGATCCTGTCTTCTCTGATCCTCCCCTTCTTCTACTGTCCTCCAATCCAAATGCTGATAGAAGAGAACCATGGGGGCAAGCTGTACACATTCAGTTTGCTGGGTATTGCTACAGAGTTTTATTTATTTATTTTTTCTTTCCTCCCCTTTTTGTACCTGGAATGTATTGAGTGGATTTTAGCCCGGGTTCACACTGATGCAGTGCAGAATTTGCAGCAGTTTCTGTGCAAATTCCACACATCACAATCGTGTGTGAAGCGCTGCAGGTGTGTATGTTAACGACACCCCGAAATCGGTCCCAAATCACAGTGTGATGTGCAGAATCGGATTGCATAGGTGTGAATACCCATGTGATCCGATTCTAGTGCGGACCAAAAAAAAAAAAAAAGGGTCCTGCACATTTTTGGTGTGGATACGGTGTGATTTGAGCCATACATAATGTACGGCTCCAATCGCACCGCACAGAATTGCGCATGTGATTTGCACAGGAATGTGGTGTGATTCCTGTGTAAATCACATGTGATATGCCGCACCGAACAAATGTGAACCCGGGCTCAACCTAAATTCGGTTTCACGCGGTCTGCCGCTATAGGCTCGGAAGGGACAATGCTTTCCTTGGTGTCCATCCCTTTTGTGGGCAGGGGTAGCATGCTTGGACATCTGCCATGTTCTGTGGTGAATAATGGGAACTTGTGTGGGGACTATTGTACCTGTCACATGATTTGTATTTCAGTCTGGCCAGTCTTGTGAGGCATGCACGTGTACCACACTACACAGCCAGACAGTTTACAATCCTGTCCTCCTCCAGCTTTCAGTGTTTCCTCTCCAGCCTGCTAACAGGACATCACAGTTTTATAATGAATTCTGATCGTAGCAAACAGTTGACTCCTGCGAGGTGTAAAGATGAACTACTAGATTATGGCAGGTGGTGTCTTTGAAGCACAAGACTAGCTGAACAGAACTGTGCTTGGGGAGGTATAATTGTTTACCAATGTATTTTAACAACTTATTTGCCATTTTTTGCCCAGAGTTCCA